CGGGAGGCCGAAATCCCCGCTCCAGCGGCCGCGCGCCGTGGCCAAACTTGCCGGAATGGCTTTGACTTTACGTAGTCTCCCGCCCTCTCGTTTCTCGTCTTTTTGGCCTCACTCACATGCACACGTTCACACGCACCCCGGCGGAGTCCCTCTGGGGGTGGAAATTAGTCTCCCGCCCGGCCTCTCCCGGTCCCTGGCGCGCTTGAAGCCGCGCTGAGGTTCGAACCGGCCACCGACCGCTCCCAAGCCTAGAACTGGGTCTCAGCCTCCGCGAAAGTGAAATGTTACAGCCGCGGGCGAGAGCCCAAACCTGCACAACGTGGATTGTCCTAGTAAGAGACCAAGGGGCTCTCAGTCACCCCAACCTTCCCACAAAGAAACCCCTAGTCCCGGAAACAAAGCCACCTCTCCGAGGGAGGTCCCCGCGCCCCTCCCCAGCGCTCCTCGGAGCCCCCAGAGAAGCGCCAGTGCCCGTTGGAGGTCACCCGGTGCCCGTCCGCGGGACTAGGGAAGAGTAAAAATGGGGAGCCTGGAAGCAGAAAGATGTATCTTAGCGTCGAGAAGGGAAAGGGAGGAGGGAGAGGGTGACACGTCGTTCACAGAAACCCAGTTTCTGATTTCAAGGCAAGACTTCCGCCACTGCGCGGGCACGCTGGCGTCTGCCTGACAATCTCAGCTGCTCCAGATGCCAGCAAAGAAAAGAAAAAGAGGGAAGAAGGAAAAGTCGAGGATGCAAAGTGTTTATTCGGGCAATCTTCAGCCTCCTGCCTCCACTCTTTCTCTGAGACTCCTCTCCTTGGTTCAGTGGGGATTTGTAAAGAAGACTGCCCAGGGTTCCCAGCGCCTCCCTCGGGCCTCCCCGGCTGTCCCAAGAAGTCGAGCTCTGGCGGCCCCGAGTTCTAACATGGGCATCCAAGGGGCGCGCTCCGCAGACCCAGGGGGATCGCGGCCCCGGAGGCGGTCGGCGGAGGTGCCAGGATTCCCACGGTCGCGCAGCTGAGCGCCGGCCGGTCGAGGGAGGGTGCTCG